TCGGGGTGCTTAGGCTAACTGCCTGCGTCCCGACGTTTCATTAATTAGGGGGTGGAGTCCATAAATTGCAATTCTGGACCGAGAGGCTACCATCTCATCACGCGCAAGGCTTCTGTACAGTTCTCGTGGGGGGGAGGGGTTCGGGCTGCGTAGGGCAGTGTTAGGGTATCGGGAGCAGAACAGGAAAGCTCACAGCTTTGATGTGTAGAGTTAGGGGTTTAGGAAACAAAGAATCACAGCTACGCGAAGGGCAGAGAAGGAGATACACGCCACAAAGTAGCCCCAAAAAAGGCGCCTACATCACAACACCTCTAGGATCCCTTCGCTGGTCTGGTGAGTATCTAAAATCTCCTCCGAGCCTATGTGACCCCCCCTCAATCAACACCCTGTCGGTCAGATTTCATCCCAGAGCGCCTGCAAGGACACCCTGGAATTCAAACCGGGCCTGCTATTTACATCATCAGTACAACCCATGTCTTGGGCTATCACAACTTCCCTACACACTACACCCTAAACCCTAAACCCTGTTCCCCTTCAAAAGGGGGGGAACGATAGCAGGCCCAGTCAAATTCCCGAGGTGGCGGTGCCGCCACTGTTCTTGCTGATCTTGCTGGCCTGCTGGCTGGTTCTTAGGAGGGAATGAGGGTTTGGGGTTTAGGGTTTCGGGTTTAGGGTTTAGGGTTTAGGGTTTAGGGTACCCTACAGAGTCCCCGAAAGGGTATATGTTAGGCCCTACTAAGAACCAGGGGCCTAGTTCGCATTGGGGTCTTTATGGTTTACCCAGGCAAGACACTGACCTCACCACTTCTTTCTTGCCATAACTTTGACAAACTGTACACTGCATATATGTATATGTATATGTATATGTATGTTTCTATGTGTATATGTACTTATACGTATATATATATATATACATATATATATATATATATGCATGTGTGTATATATGTATATATATATATATATATGTGTGTGTGTGTGTCTGTGTGTGTGTGTGTGTGTGTGTGTGTGTGTGTGTGTGTGTGTGTGTGTGTGTGTGTGTGTGTGTGTGTGTGTGTTGTGTGTGTGTGTGTGTGTCGTGGTGTGTGTGTGTCTGTGTGTGTGTGTGTGTGGTGTGTGTGTGTGTGTCTGTGTCTGTGTCTGTGTCTGTGTCTGTGTGTCTGTGTCTGTGTCTGTGTCTGTGTCTGTGTCTGTGTCTGTGTCTGTGTCTGTGTCTGTGTCTGTGTCTGTGTCTGTGTCTGTGTCTGTGTCTGTGTCTGTGTCTGTGTCTGTGTGTGTGTCTGTGTGTGTCTCTGTGTGTCTCTGTGTGTCTCTGTGTGTCTCTCTGTGTGTGTGTGTGTGTGTGTGTCTGTGTCTGTGTCTGTGTCTGTGTCTGTGTCTGTGTCTGTGTGTGTCTGTGTGTGTGTGGGGTGTGTTTTTGTTGCTTGTTTTCTTGTGTCTTTTGTTTGGGGGGGGAGACCCGCCAATGTTAATGGGTTCCTTGAGATTAGGGTTAAGAATTTTGGATGCCCCCGCCTTGTGACGTCGCCAGGGCCCATACAGAAGTTGAGGGGCCATATTCACGGACATGTACTTACATTCCCTTTCAAAAAACCTGAAGTCCTAACCCTAAACCCTAAACCCTAAACCCTACACCCTAAACCCTAAACCCTAAACCCTAAACCCTAAATCCAAAGTGGCAGGGCCTGCCTGCCGATCGAACTTGCGGCTCTCCTGCTGTTGGTAGCAAACGCTCTCGAAGTCTGCCTCAGTTGAAGTTTAGGGTTTAGGGTTTAGGGTCTAGGGTCTAGGGTTTAGGGTTTAGGTCTCAGGGTTCTACAGGTATGCCCAAACCCATACAAAAAATGTGTGGACTCTACATGCCATCCCCTCCCCAGGCTCCCCCACCCCCTGTCCCGGCGTGTTTAGGGCAACCCCCATCCAAGCCCTGCTCACTTCAGATAAAATCAGAACGCCCTACTCAAACCTCTAACACTCAACCCTCTCTGAGAAGGGGTTTAGGGTTTAGGGCAACGGGTTTAGGCTGGAACACCATGGCAGTAGCCATGTTGCTACGAGAACTCCTGCTTCTTGCGCGATGTCCACGGGGGGATACGGGGCAACCCACCACTCTTAAGCTTTACCGCACTTACGAGAACCTGCCAAGGAGCCCGCAGAAACCCGAACACGAACTTTAAAAAGGTAGCTACGTTGTGCAGGTCCCATGAATTTAAGGAACCAGCCAAACAAAGGAAACACACACACACACACAAAAGTTCTCGAGTAATAATTCTAAAACCCACCCATCCAGGCCTCCACTTCGTGGAGAGCCTCGATCATGTGGCCCATCTCCTTGTCCAACTCAACCTCGTGAAGGTCGGGCTCGGGGACAGGTCCATTAAAGCTAGGCTGCCCAGTAACCTAGGCTTAAAAAGGGTGCCCTTTTTTGCTTAAAGGGGGTTATAAGGGAACCTAAACCCCCCAAAAAGGGAATAAGGGCACTAGTGGGCATCCTAGAAAAGGGGGTCTAAGCACATGCATTCCAATCCCTCCCCCGAATATTAACCCCCCCCCCCCCTAATCTTAAATGCCCCCCAGATACTGAAATATAACTCTAGTGGGAGTATCTAATATTAGGGGGTAGGGGGGGTGGGGGGTGGGGGGTGGGGGGGCATTACAATATTTGGGGGAAGGGATCAGTGCTCTGGCCTTTTGGCTTCAGTTTGCTCTCTCGATGCAGCCTCTCGGGTTCAGGCTTTGCGTGCTTGAGGGTTGTTGAGTCAGGGTTTTAGGGGTTTAGGGTTTAGGGGTCTTCGCCAGCAGCAACCTTTCAACACTTCCTCTTCAGTACATCGCCGGTTGGCTCCTAAGAACCCCAAAGCCCCAATCACTGTATTTTATCATTGGAGAACACGCCCTATACCCTCAACCAGCACTGAACATGGTGAGGCTGCATACTGCAAGCATCGAAGCCCGGCTGAAAGCCCAAAACCCGTCCCTCCCCCCAGCCTCGCACCCCCTAAACCCTAAACCCTAAACCCTACACCCTAAACCCTAAACGCTGAACCCTGAACCCTAAACCCCACAAAAACCCTCCCCCATTGCACAAAGGCTAATGCGTCGGCAGGGGGCCACGTCTCTCCTCCCGTCTCCAGGTCGTGGAGCCGTGTTCCCATGTGGCTGAGGGCCTCCTGAGCCTGTTTAGGGTTTAGGGTTTAAGGTAGACCTGGGTAGCACCCCCAGAATTTCTTTGTAAGTATGATAAAGGCTCCCTAACCCTAATCCCTAAGAACTGCTACAATTACTATGAGACGAACTACGAAAGGCTGAGAATGATGCTAAAGCTACAGTCATTATGACGCCCTATGAAACGATGATCCATCTTGCTATCAAGGACGGGGTAAGCAGTTGGTACACACCCTAAACCCTAAACCCTAAACCCTAAACCCTAAACCCTAATTCAAGGCAGCGCTTCTCGGCCTAGGGTGTTCTTAGAGGTTTGTTTGATGGGTTTTTAGGGGGCGCTTGGGACCGTTTGGGGGCTAGGCTCGGGAGGGAAGTTGGGGTTTAGGGTCTAGGGTTTAGGGTTCAATTTTTTTTGGGATGCTGCGATGCTGGTGGGATGGCCGGTGAGGGTGGCGAGGATGGATGCTGATTGTTGTTGAAAGTTGGGTGGCTCGTTTGCGTGCTGACCTTGGTTTCAAAGTACAGTCATAGTTTAGGGTTTAGGGTTTAGGGTTTAGGGTTTAGGGTTTAGGGTTGGGGGTCTCGGGTTTGGGTTGGGGTCGGGGGTCTGGGGTCTGGGGCTTGGGGTTGGGGATTGGGGTGTGGGGTGTGAGAAGCCTCGAAAGGTCCTAATGAGGAACCCCTAAAACCCTACGAATGGCAAACCCCTTGAACCCAAGACTCTAAACAACAAACCCCTAAAGCCTAGAGCCTAAAGCCTAAACCCTAAACCCTCACCCCCGCCCTCGGCAAGGCATAGCCTTCTTCAGGTCGGCGGAGAAACGCTCCTCCTCCAACTTCTTGATGTAGTCCTTGTGTGGCTGTCAGATTTAGGATTTAGGGTTTTAGAGTCTAGGGTTTAGGGTTTGCGGGATGTTCCCCTTATACGAACAGCCCTCAACAGGGATTGTGATCGGGGGTACTCTAATCCGTACTAAGGACTGTTAGTATAAGGGGGAACATCCCAAAGGATAACCCTTTCCTACAGCCTCAATCAAGGGATATGTGCTGAATATACAGGTTCCTCTAAGTACTATAGGGTCGGAATGATGACTAATCGTATTCCCCTATGGCCGCTGTACAAATATGCTATACTCTAGCCCCCCCCCCCCCCCCCCCCCGCCCCCCAAAACCCTACTCTAATTATTAAGGCCCCTAGATGGGGGTTTACGATATTAGGGGTACCTTATGGGGGTCCTATTATAAGGGGATCCTACTATTTTGGGGTCTGTATTAGGGGTCCCCTGTTTTCGTAAACCCCTCATGTTGCTACTATTTGCTTAAGAAGCCCAAACGAATTAAAAAAAAACAAAAAAAAACAATAATCCCTATATTGCCCTTATAGGGAAGAATATCTTTCATTCGTTGGGGGGTTCTTAAGCAAATAGTAGCACCCTAAACCCTAAACCCTAAACCAGGAGGGTTGGGGCTTCGTTCGGTTCGGCTTCGGGTTGCAGGTGCAGGGGTTGGCACTGCGCCAAGGGCAAACGAAGTATCAGGATGGGTGCCCAATAGCGCGTATAGCTAGGACAACGATCCGAAACCCTAACTAGCCCTAAACCCCAAACCCCAAACCCTAAATTCGAAACCCTAAACCCCAAACCCCAAACCCCAAACCCTAAACCCTAAACCCTAAACCATCATAGGTTAGGGTTCAGGAGACCCAGACTCGCCCCCCCAAAGCTTCAGGGGTTATAGGGTGCCCTATTGGGGGGCTTCCCGGAAGACCCCACTGTCTTCGCAAAAAGGCCTCTCAAATCCTCAGTTCTTTGGGTTTAGGGTTTAGGGTTTGGGGTTTAGGGTTTAGGGTTTGGGGTTTGGGGTTTAGGGTTTAGGGTTTGGGGTTTAGGGTTTAAGGTGGAATGCTTTAGGGTCCAAGGTTTAGTTTCAGGAAACTTCGGGTCCTTCAGGAGTTGGCGGCAGGCCATGTAGAAAAGTCCGATGGAGCCAGTCACGGACGCCGGCACGAGAAGTGCCTCCGGATCGCAACGCACTTAGAGACCGGGCCCTGGGTTTAGGGTTTAGGGTTTAGGGTTTAGGGTTTAGGGTTTAGGGTTTAGGGTTTAGGGTTTAGGGTTTAGGGTTTAGGGTCATGAACCCCCCGTCCCTGAAGATCCCTCGAATAAACCCTGAATGTCCTACCCCGTAAACCTCTTAAACCCTACAAGCCCTAAACCCTAAGCCCTAAAGTCCAAAACCCCCAAACCATTCAACCCCTAAAAACCGTAAAAGCCCCAAAACCAAAAAAAACACCCCCAAAATCCACGACCGTTTAGGGTTTAGGGTTTAGGGTTTAGGGTTTAGGGTTTAGGGTTTAGGGTTTAGGGTTGCTTCCAAACAGTGAAAGTCCACGGCTCAGGGCTTCGGAGGCCGAACCACAACGAAGGGTCCTCTTCAGCCCGATATGGGTTCAGGGCTTAGGGCCTGAGCCCTAAACCCTAAACCCTAAACCCTAAACCCTAAACCCTAAACCCTAAATCCTAAACCCTAAACTCCAAACCCTAAACCCCAAACCCGAGGGCAGCATCGAAAATCCAAAGGGCCTGCCTAGTGACGCACAGAATGCTGAGATGTGCAACTCCGACAGCCTGTACACTTCGTGTTTAGGGTTCGGGTTTGGCGTTTTTGTCAAGGGTTCATGGCGTTTTGGGGTTGAGGGATTTAAGGGAATTAGGGTTTGGGTTCCTGTTTGGGTCTCTCGGCCCTCTACAAGCCTGAAGCTCAAACCCCGAAACCCGAAACCCTAAACCCTAAACCCCTGTACGCCCAACCGCGCAGGGCGCCTTAGGCCCCGGGATCACATTCTCCATGTAGATTCCAATGAGACCACCAGAAAGATAAGATGCCCAAAGTCCGGCGAGGACAGCCAGCTTCCTTGTGGCGATTTAGGGGCTTAGGGTTTAGGGCTTAGGGCTTGGGGTTTAGGGTTTAGGGTTTAGGGTGTGTTTGGAGGTGATAGGAAGTTAGCATACGCCGTTCTTCATGTTCCCAACGACCCAGAACATAAGAAGGTCACAGGCCCTCACAGTTGTTTGAACTGTGTACATGTAGGAAGCCCCACTGGAGCTTCAAAGTTGAGTTGCGAACTATTCGTTTACTATCTTCGGAGCAGGGTACAGTGCAATGGATCCCTCAAGAAATCGACCATGCGTTCAAAGAACCATCTACACCCCTGCGTCCCGCACATGCGAAGATGCCAGGTGTCTGGGCATCCACAGCAATTTCCGCGCGATCAATGTCGTTCAGCGCTTGTTTTTGAATCGCCCTTGGCAGCCAAGCGCCCGTCAACCGCAACAAAGACAGCACAAGCTCTCGAGACCTACTCCACACAGAGACACAAGGTCAGGTAGGAAGTTTCCCGTCCACCCGGGTGTTGGGGTTATAGGATCTCAGCATATATCGGGCGCATAGCTTTTTGGTTTTAGGGCATATACTTGTTGGCATCTAGTTTTTGTAAAGTGCCTATTATAAGCCTCTTGTGGCTTATAAGTATCATTATAGCCCAGCTTGTCTAGTATACAGATCCCGAAGCCCTAAACCCTTTTGTGATTTTTTTTGGGGGCTGCATGCCGTCCTGCGCAACCAGATCATGCTGATGCGGCCCATGGTGGAGCCAATGTCCGTGACGGTGCCTGCACTCCGCCCACGACGACCCCATATGCCCCGAGAACAAAAGCAGGCTGTGTTGAACAAAATTGGATACGGCAGGTGGGGTAGCAAACCCACGTCTGGTTGAAAGGGCTTTATATCCGTCCTAGTAGCGGACGGCGGCTGGTCGAGTAGGGTATCCCGAACCCTACTTCTAAAAACCCTAAACCCTAAACACTAAGTTTCTAAGCCGGTGATTCACGCAGCCACGCACAGCTGCCCGCTGCCTGTGACATGAGTGGTGCGGATGATGGCCCCAAAGTGTGAGGTGCACATTGCCTTGGTAGCCCAGGAACCACATAACTTGAGGGTTTAGGGTTGAGGGTTTTTAGGGGTACTTATCACTGTACATGTAAACGGATTAGGGCACTTGAGGGGCTTTTAGGTTGGTTTTGAGTGCAGTTATGATTTGGTGAATAAGTACCATGAACCTCCAAGTGGTAGCCCAGAAACCACACAACGGTAAGGGTACCCTTTTTGGGTTTGTTGTTGGGATGTTTCCCCTTGTACTAACAGTCCTCAATAGGGATTATAGTGCCCCCTACTATAAACCCTAATCCCTACTAAGGACTGTTAGTACAAGGGGGAACATCCCAAGTTTGCTACTTTATAAGGGAACCTCGAACCAACAAAAAATGGCAACAGTGTACCTCTGGGCCACCCCTAAACCCTAAACCCTAAACACTAAACCCTAAATCCTAAACCCTAAACCTAAGCTACCGAGTCACGTTCTGCAAGCCGCAGGCAGCGGCCACGAAGCATGAAGGGACCAAGCGGCCCGGGATGAAGGCAGCCGAAACCAGCAGTGCTGAATTCAACACCAAAGCCATCCCATAAAAAGCCTTGCCCAGGAAGTGCACTTGGTTCTTGTCGATGAGGATTCCGCAGGTATAGGCGCCCAGCAGAAAGCACAGGACCAAAGAGCATGCCTCTTTCAAAGATTCTGACCCATACTCACCTTGATGATAGCCTTCCAAGCGGAAGGCCATGGCGGAGGTACTACCCGTTACATGAGAGGCATACAAGCTCCAGCACTTGAAGGCGATGATGTTCGCGGCGCCGGCGCATGTTGCCAGGCACCAGCCAAAGCCTGCAAACACTAGGGTTTAGGGTTTAGGGTTTAGGGTTTAGGGTTTAGGGTTTAGGTTCTGAGCACAAGCTCCCTCATCCCCACATCGGACTCCCATGCTCTGCCCCATTTTTTCGGAGAGCCCCAGCCTGTGACCCAGAACTTTGGCCGCTGGAAGCTTTTGCGAATTGCAGCTGCCTTCCTCGGTGGCCCAGTGACCATAGTATAACAGGGGCGCCCTTTTTTTTGGGATAGCTGGTTTATAAGGGAACCCAAAACCCCCCCCCCCCCCCCCCCCCCCCCCAAAAAAAAAAAAAAAAGAGGTACAACTGGGCTGCCAGGCTTCCTTGCGTTTTTGCGTTGTCAGGGTTTACGGGTTTTAGGACTACGAAGATCAGCACTACATACGCGGGTTGCCCTCGACTAGGGTCCGCTTCGCAGGCACCGTCGATAAGCGGATTCCTGATCAAGGTGCCGCTGACCTAGAACAACCCGTCATATGACTGCTGCTATGTTGTGTACATGGTTGGCTAGCACGTAGCTGAGCTATCTGCCGTCACATGTAAGGCGACAAGCTCGCTGCACAAGCATCATAGCTCCCACTGCAGATCCGCTACAACCGGCAACGCTTGCATTCGACTTTTAGCCACGCGGTGTGCGGTGTTGAGGTTCATGGTTACCGAGAGTACCCTATATGCCTTCAGAAAGGAAACTGTACTTGGCCGTCTTGTTGGGAACTTCATTCTTTAGTAAGATAAGGCCCCCACCCAAAAAACAAAATCAAACTACGCTACATCTAGGGGTCGGGGAAAGCCCATATACCCAGGGCCCCCTTTGCCGGGATGTCGAGATCTTACTTCAAAGCCGCAACGCGGAAGCTTTAGGGTTCAGGTTCTGTGTTCTAGTTGTGGCCGTGCATTTGGGGCCTTGGGGCCTTCTTGGCGTACCCTCTCTATATGTCTACACATAAGGCTCTATACTACAACAATTTAGGGAACCTCCCACGTGGCGCAAGGCTGTGTTGTCATTCCGAGGTTCTCGCGCACGCGCCGGGTGGAGGTTGACTGCCTCCAACCAAGGCAGAGGATGGCGCTCACGTCTTAGGGTTTAGGGTTTTAGGGGTTTAGGGGTTTAGGGGTTTAGGGTTTAGGGTTTAGGGTTTAGGGATTAGGGTTTAGGGTTTAGGGATTAGGGATTAGGGTTTAGGGGCTTGGGGTTTGGGGGTTTAGGGTTTAGGGGTTTAGGGTTTAGGGTTTAGGGGTTCAGGGTTTAGGGTTTAGGCCTTTGAAGGGGTCCCCTTGTATACCCCTCGTATACCCTGCACAACCCCGAGGGGCCCCCTACTTCAAAACCCCCTCAAAAGGAGGACAGGGGCCCCTCTCAGGGGCCCATCAAGCTACTTGGAGGTTCATGGTAATTATTCACCAATAATTGCTGTACTTCTAACTGTACCTATAACCATATTAGGGCACTTGAAAGGGCTTATAAGGTGGGTTATTTAAGTACAGTTATAACTGGTTAATAAGTACCATGAACCTCCAAGTACCCCAAGATTTTGGCTCATTCAGGGTCGTTAGACCGGTTGGTGCTCTTAGAGCCACGGATTAGGATTTAGGGCTTAGGGCTTAGGGCTTAGGGCCTAGGGGCTTAGGGTTTAGGGTTTAGGGTTTAGGGTTTAGGGTTTAGGGAAACATTTGGGCGAACTAAGGGCATGACAGGAGCACCCGGGAGTGACCTAGGAATCCAAAGGGGTACCCTCTCTTGGTTTTAAGGGGATTATAAGGGAACCCCCAGCCCTTAAAAAAGGGTTTAGGGTTTAGGGTTTAGGGTTTGGGGTTTGGCCTACTCCCGGTCCTAGGGAGAAGGAGCATACAGATGCCCCCCCCTCTCTGAACCCGAAGCCCTCGCTGCTTTAGGGTTCAAGCGCTTGGCCAGGTGATGTGAACCCTAAACCCTACAAACCCTGTAAACCCTGTAAACCCTATAAACCCTATAAACCCTATAAACCCTATAAGCCCTATAAACCCGATAAACCCTGTGACTGTGATTGTACAAACCCTATTCAAAACCCTATAAACCCTATAAACCCTATAAAGCCTATAAACCCTATGAACCCTATAAACCCTGTAACCACTATAAACACTATAAACCCTAGACCCTAAACCGTAAACCCTAAACCGACTTTGCAGTCAGTGCTCCGAGCCCCCTCAACCGCGCCTCGAAAGCCGGGAGGGGGAGAGCGGTGCCTGGTGGGCTCCTTGTGCCATCGTGGAAGACTAGGTCGGCCGCTATCAAATGGCTGGCGGCAAGCAGGGTGCAGGACCGGGACAGGGTTTACGCGTGTTTACGGATGAGGTCCGAAAACCCCTTCGAGGGTTCCTTGGCCCCCTATGTAAAACCCCCCCTCATGCCCCAATCCCTACACTTGTGGGTGGCTGTCAACATCCCAGAGACTCCAAAAACTCTTGATTAAGGAATATACCTTAAATTATAATCGGAACCCTAATATGATTTAAGGTAATTCCTTAATTAAGGGGTTTTGGAGTCTCTGGGAAAATTATGGTCCCTTTTTGGGTCCCTACTATAATACGGCACCGAATATTTAGGGTACCCCAAAAGGGATCATAGTTTTGACAACCACCTTTGTGACTCTCGGTCAGATTCGGCTCCTGCAAGCTCGAAGCTCGACACTTACCAAATCTGTGTCTGGGTAATCTGCTGACCAAAGGTTCCTGTGTTTGTGCAACCCCAACGGCGGGGTTTAAGGTTTATGGGCTTTCTCGATTTTATAGGGCGTGTGGGGTTCAGAGGGTTCGGAAAGCAACGCGCGAGAGCCCATTTGCGGTTTCTGGATGGCTAAGGGCTTTACTAGACCCGAGAGTAACCTAGGAATAACAAGGGTACCCTTTTTGGTTTTAAGGGGATTATAAGGGAACCCCGGCCCTTAAAAAAGGAAAAAAGGGCCTACTCCCGGTCCTAGTTTCTGAGGTTGAAGAACCATCCTTCTTCCTCATCTTCTGTGCAAGGTTCTTGGGCTATGCAAGGTTCTTGGGCTGTTTCGAGACGCAGGGTCCCTCCCCGTTTTAGGACTCCTAGGTAAGCTAGCTACAACACAAAATGGGTCTTGAGTGGTTGAAGAAAACCCTAAGCCCCAAACCGCTAGTGCCCTACTTTCGAGGTTCATGGGCACTTTTAAGTAGCGTAACTCTGGTTACAACCAAATTTAGGGTGTACTTAGTCTCACACTTATAAGTAGCCCAAACCCCAAAACCCCAAAACCCCAAAACCCCAAACCCCAAACCCCAAACCCCAAACCCCAAACCCCAAACCCCAAACCAGAAACCAGAAACCCCAAACCCCAAACCCCAAACCCTAAACCCTAAACCCTCGTGCAATTTGGGCCCCGGCCCCGCAGGATCCCAGAGCATCCAGGTGGCGCGCGCGGAATCATCTCCGGTACTGGACCTGGTCAGTGCTTTGGTGCGTTTATGTCGGTTTAGGGTTTAGGGTTCAGGGTTTCTCCAGTACTGGACCAGGTCAGTGCTTTGGTGCGTTTATGTCGGTTTAGGGTTTAGGGTTTAGGGTTTGGGTTTTAAGGCTTAGGGTTTACACTGTATACACTTAAAGAAGGGACCCTGGGGTTGTGTAGGGGTTCGGGGTTGAGGGTGTACCTGCAGAAGCCTATATAAACCCTTAACAAAGGGATGATATACCTGAATTATTTGCGTATATATCCCGTGTTTGAGGTGTTACTGGCAGAGTTGAGGATTTGGATTCAGAGGGTAGACCTGTTACAACGTTCATGAATCATGCTCCGACTGCTCTCATTACAGCAAGAACGCTGAATTTGGACGCCGGGCTAACACTCAGGTCGCTTAAGGTTTGAGGCTTAAGTTTTAGGGTGGGGTTGGGATGTTCCCGCTTATACTCACAATGGGATCATAGCACCCCCCCCCCCCCCCCCCCCATTTTCAGCCCTACTAAGGACTGTTCGTATAAGACTGAGTACCCCATTAACCATATCCTACTAAGGGCACCCTTTTTTGGGGTTGGCTACTTTCTAAGGGAACCCATAACCACAAAACAGGGAGGAGGGAACCCAAGTGTGGGGTGTACAGGGTGTTGGGATCTCGAATTTATCTAGGCTGCCCAGTAACCTAGGCTTAAAAAGGGTGCCCTTTTTTGCTCAAAGGGGTTTGCAAGGGAACCTAAACCCCCCCAAAAAGGGAATAAGGGTACTACTGGGCATCCTAGTTAAAAGATGGCCCCAGGAACTCTTATCTTCGTGTAGGGCTTCTGGGATATGGGGGTTTCCGAAACAAGGGGGTACCCTATTGGGGTGCTTATGAGACGGGGATCCTACTAGTGGCCTTAACTTCGTAAACCCCTGTATTTCGATCCTCGTTCCTTGTCTCGGGCTTTGTTGAGGGTCCGCGGCTTCAGGTTTCGGGTTAGGGTCTGGAGTTTAGGGTTAAGATCTGCCGGACATAGCTGCTGCGGGGCTTGTTGTGCTTTAAGCCTGAACCCTAAACCCTAAACCCTATATGAACCCTAAACCCTAAACCCTGGACCCTAAACGGTAAACCCTAAACCCTGAATTTTGACAACCCTTCACAAAAACCTCAAGACCCCAGCTAAACCAAAGCACACGTCAGTCAGGCCGACCTAGAGATGTAGCTTGGGATTGATTATTAATGGGGGTGCTATGATCGCTATTAAGGACTGTTAGCTAGTATAAGGGGGAACATCCTAGCCTATGGTACCCTGAACAAGCTGCCTTACTCACTGGGTACATAGTTTACTCTTGGTATCTAAGGGTAGTTACATGGTCCCTAAGTATATACTTAGGGGCCCGTGAACGGAGCCCCCTTGCCTTATATTTGTATACCCTGTACAACCCCCAGGGCCCGTACTTCAGAACCCCTTGAGGGAGGCAAGGGACCATATTAAGGGCCCATGAAACTAACCTTAGTCTAGGGGTTCTACCTTGGACCCTTAAGGTTGCTTTGTTGGATTTCGGGGCACCGTTTTCAGGATCCGTGGGGACTATAAGGGGACAACCCGCCTATAATGGCCCTGAATCATTCGGTCGCCTTCCCCCTGGTCGGTCGCCCATATGCACGGAAGGTGTGTGTTTTTGAAATGAAGTCGGGCGCCTACTTCTGAAGTCGTTGGCTGTAGAGTGCAGACCATACTTTAAGCTGCATTTGAAGTTGCGTAGAGTCGAATTTATGGTTTTGATTTAAGGGTTCAGGGTTTACAGGGCTTGGCCTCCTGTGCTTTGTGGTTTAGGGTTTAGGGTTCAGGTGTGCACAATTTGTACATGGCAGTTCAGAGTGAGGAGATGTCAAGTTGCGAGCGCAAATCGCCACAGCTTGCATGGCTAGGAAAATGTGAATGAGGCGAGAAAAGGCTCGAAGAACACTTCAGCTCCATGACAAAGGGTTTTGGGTAGGGGGATGTTGTCCCCCTTTGGCCTGAAATGCGGCGGCATTGCGTGGTAATGTGGCAAGTGAACGTCACTACTGAAAGGCCAAACGTTAAAACAAGTCACAGCGGCACTTGCACCATGGTTCCGGGTCTAGGGTTTAGGTTTAGGGTTTAGGGTGTAGGGGTTTAGGGCTTAGGGTTTAGGGTGTAGGAGTTTAGGGGTTTAGGGTTTAGGGTTTAACACCGTACCTAGAGTCAGCCATATGCCCTTGGGAAGGGATATGTACCTTAGTTGTTGGCAGTTTTGCCTGTGGTATATGGGTATTGCGCCAAGGGTCCATATGTGCCTAGATAACTTATAGATATTTGGCCCTGAGAGGGGGCTCCTACATAGTAGGTTTAGGGCTTCTTTATATACTATACAGGTATCTGGATCCTTAGGGTTACTCTTGGGCAGCCCTAAATCCAAGCGCCACAAGGCTTCTGTCTCCCTCAAACCATGGATCCTAGAGCAATGTAGCACATGCACCAAGACGCGTATATGTATGTAGAGTCAGATGTAAACACAGTAGCTGTAGTTCCTCGCCTGGGGAAACGAAACTCCCGCAACCCATGAAGAAAACTACTGGCAGGTAGCCACACAATACAGGAACTACACTCAAGGGTCGAACCCTAAACCCTAATCCCTAAACCCTAAACCCTAAACGGCTTCTTTAGGGGGCATGAAGGAGCGCACCATTTGTCCGAGAAAAATGGCTTTGGCAATCAAAGCAACATGCCGGGCCGGGGCGGTTCTTAGTCCAAGGGCCAGGAGACAGAGGAGAGGCCCGTTTCCCACCCCAAACCCTACACCCTACATCCTACACCCTATACCCTAAACCCTAAACCCCCAAATGCCCTTAAACCTGCATGTGTTGCAGGCCCGGACCTCGAAGAGCCCCCACTTTCATTAAAAGATTTGGCCCGACGCCTTGACGTGTGGACCCTGAGCAAAGAAATTCAGAGTGACACCCTATTCGGGTTTAGGGTTTCATGTTTGGGGTTTAGGGTTTGGGGTTTAGGGTTTGAGGTTTAGGGCTTGGGGTTTGGGTACAGCCGAAAAGCCCTCAACCCTCCTTGTATCCCTCAGAAAATTCAGGCGGGGGACGTGACAAACCAGGCATACGAAGGCCTATGCAGTGACCTGATAGCCTCCTTATATACTTTCTAGGATTCAGAGGGTTCAATGCTTCACGTTTTAGGGCTTTGGGCTCGTCACAAGAGGCCTAGCACACTAAATGTGCAAGATGTGCAAGTGTCATGGTTACAAAAGCCCTACTGGTTTCGAACCCAGCGCCTGGCTAGCTCACGTGCTGAAGACCCGTTGCAGGTTTTGGGATTGCATCTAGAGACTGCAGATTGAGAGCTTGAAGTCCCCGAATTTTGTGGGGTTGACTTGGGGCTTCATGGTAGGGTTTAGGGTTTAGGGTTTAGGGTTTAGGGTTTAGGGTTTAGGATTTAGGGTTTAGGGTTTAGGGTTTAGGGTTTAGGGTTTAGGGTGTAGGGTGTAGGGTGTAGGGTTTAGGGTTTAGGTTTTAGGGTTTAGGGTTTCGGTGGCTATAGTCCCTGTAACAGCTAGGCGATGCTGGCTAGGACCTTATTTGGGATACTTCTACACCTACGTGCAGAATTGCCTTAAACCCTACTTTAGTCAGTCCTCTCCCAAACCAAAGCAAGTGGTGCCCTTACATGGCAAAGCCTGCAGAATGTAGGGTGGTACGTATACCAAGCTTAGCCTGTATGCCACAAAGAAGGGTAAACTGAAATGTACCACGAGCTAAGACTAAGGTACGTCCCT